TAAAGAAAAACAGGGGCTTTAGATTTATTTCAAACACAGGGAAGCAGAGAACTTAGCAGGAAAATGTCCAGTCTGCTCAGGTTAAAAGTTAATTTGATCTTGAAAACTGTTGCTTCAGCCTTTTTTCTCCCTCAAAGAAAAATGTGCCTTCCTCTGCAGATCTAAAAAGATAAGCCCACTATATAGATTTCTGCAGCAGCCACACTGGACACAGGAAATATTGGCCTTGTTCCTTAAGCTGCCACTTGGTCTCAATGGAGGTTTTTATTGTACATCTCTTCATTAGAGTTAGAGAGGTTTTATAACATAATATTTTGGCTTGTCCACATGGAGACTTAGTGCATGGCAAGCTGCATTGTCAATGCATAGTGCACTAGCTTGCCACAAATTAAGTTACCCTGGGGAGCCTGCTACCACACACTAAAAGTTCCATAATGGATCAACAATCCTGTACTGCTGTCAGAGTGCGCTGTGGAACTGTTAGTGCATGATTGCAGGGTCCACCCGGCCAGTTAGTGCACTGCAAGCTAGTGAGTTATAGAGTCACACCCTAGTTTGCTGCACACTGTTTCCCTGTCGATGAGCAAGTCTGTCTGCTGAGCTGGGTGCTCTCAGAATTCTCTCTTGTTCAAGAAAGTGTCTCAGAACTCCAAGAATTCTGACCACATCTCTCTCTCACTCTCACTCACACACAGCATTACAGTCTGTATCTAAAAATGCTCTTCCACTTCCTAAATAGGAGGACCCCTTTTCTGCTCCGCTGTCCTCAGAACACTGTCCCATGGTCGAGGAAGCAGAAGCCTTCCTGGCGATACCGTCCATACAGCCATGCATTCACCTCCAGGATGTGTCTGTATTACTTCAAGAAGTTTTATTTCATTTTCCTCCTCTCCCACAGTATAGAATCATAGGCCTCTTCTTCCAGGTCATTTCATCCCTCCCTTCCTCCCTCCACCTGAGAAGGCGGGATTACTCCTAACTCCTAATTATTCTAGTTTATTGTCCCTTTCTAGTTTCAAAATATCCCATATGATGCTTCTAATAATTTTTTTTTGAGTTTAACAATTAAACTGAGTTTCAAAGGTGAAAGTAAATTGTCAGAAGATAACAATGTACTCTGCACAAGGCATAAGCCTTAATAGTGGGGACCAATCTATGAAAATATCTTCAAAACATTTGAGGCCCATATTTTAATCTGTTTTTCAAATTAGTGAAAATAATGAGTTTTGCAGTAAGGCGACAAGTAAATTCAAGATTTAACTATTTGGTTCCCTTGTTAGATCCATCTGTTTGCTCTAAATGTGCTAGGGTTGCCAGGTGTCCTGTTTTTGACCGGAATGCCTGGTTGAAAAGGGACCCTGGCGGCTCTGGTCTGCACCACTGACTGGGCTGTTAAGTCTGGTTGGCGGCACAGCAGGGCGCAAGCAGGCTCCCTGCCTGCCTTAGCTCTGTGTGGCTCCCGGAAGCAGCGCCACTCCCCCTTCCAGCTCCTATGCATAGGGGCAGCTAGGGGTCTCCACATGCTGCCTCTACCCAAGCGCTGGCTCTGCAGCTCCCATTGGCCAGGAACTGTGGCGAGTGGGAGCTGCGGGGGCAGCACCTTCAGACGGGGCAGTGCGCAGAGCCACCTGGACACGCCTCCATGTAGGAGCCAGAGGGTGACATGCCGCTGCTTCTGGGAGCTGCCTGAGGTAAGCACAGCCCAGAGCTTGCACCCCTGACCCCCTCCTGTCCTCCGAACCCCTTGGTCCCAGCCCAGATCCCCCGCCCGCCAAACTCCTCGGTCCCAGTCTGGAGCCTCCTCCTGCACCCCAAACCCCTCATCCCCAGTCCCACCCCAGAGCCCGCACCCTCAGCCAGAGCTCTCACTCCCCGCACCTCTGCCCCAGCTCAGAGCCCCCTCCTGCACTCCAAACCCCTCAGCTGCAGCCCAGAGCCTGCTTCTGCACCCCAAATCCTTAATCCCTGGCCCCACACCAGAGCCTTCACCCCCTCTGCACCTCAACCCACTGCCAAGGTCAGGAGCCTCGTCCCTCACCCTGAACACCTCATTTCTGGCCCCACCCCAGAACCCACACACCCAGCCCAGAGCCCGTACCCCTCCCACACCCCAATCTCCTGCCTCAACCCGGAGCCCCCTTCCATACACTGAACCCCTCAGCTCCACCCCCACAGCCCGGAGCCCCTTCCTGTATCTCAAACCCCTCATCCCTGGCCTCACCCCCTCCCACATCGCAAAGCACTGCCCCAGCCCAGAGCCCCCTCCCAAATCCCTCATCCCTGGCCTCACACCCTCCCGCATCCCAATGCACTGCCCTAGCCCAGAGCCCCCTCCCGTATCCCAAACCCCTCATCCCTGGCCCCACCCCAGAGCCCGCACCCTGAGCCGGAGTCCTTACCCCCTCCTACACCTCTGCCCCAGACTGGTGAAAGTGAGTGAGGGTGGGCGACTGAGCGACAAAAGGAAGGGGGATGGAGTGAGCAGGGGCGGAGCCTTTGAGAAGGGGCAGGGCAGGGGTGAGGCTTTGGAGGAAGGGCAAGGCAGGGAGAGGGGTAAGGGTGTTCAGTTTTTTGCTAGCAGAAAGTTGTCAACCCTAAAATATGCCTTTTTCAGAAGTTGTTTAATTTCAGATTCTCTAATCTCTCCTTTTCATTGACAAAATAGTTTTAAAAATACACAGACATATTAATTTAAAATTCTTAGATTTATTAGTATGCTTAAGGTAGTAATGACTCTTACAACACTTTTGCCTGTCACTAGTTGTTGGTGCATGGTTCATTTTTCACTGCTTTGGAAGAAAGTATAATAACAAAACAGAATGAGCTACATCCTATTCCTGTTGAAATCAATGGTAAAACTCTCGTAGATTAGGTTGAGCTCCCACTAAAGACTTTTTTTTTGTTTTTTTTACAACCAGATACAACTTTATTTAGGACTTTTCCATTTAACAGTGTATAATTTTTTTTTTAAAACTCATCCATTGTGTTACTGCTTTACTATATGGCAGGATGTTGCTTCATTTAATGCTTTGCTACTAGTCTTGTTAAAATATTTTTTACACCTGTCATATCTGGCCTGAAGGGAATGTCGTATTTAATAATCTATATAATCTGTAGTTCCTGCTCACTTATCCTCATAGATTATTATGACAGAAGCCACTAAAGTTCATTCTCCTGATTAAGCTGATATGAATGGTTTGTACATGTATTACAGACGGGATCAGTTGTAACAGTCATTACTCTTAATTAATTTTTTAACTTTTAAATTGTGATTTTTGCATTTTGAGGAGTAAAATCTACAGGCGTAAAGAACGACTCTGGTGGTGTGGTGTGTGCTTACACTGTTGAAATAATAGACCTTCCACAAAGGTCTGAGGCAGCTTACTCTAGTGTGATAAAATTAAACTAGTTAGTATCACAGCGAATATATCTTATTGTTACAGCAGTATAGGAGCCCCAGAACAGAGAACATCAAAGAGGAGGTAACTCAAAGTTCCTCAAAGGCAGGTTTGTCTTAAGCATATGAGACAATACTAGAATCCTGCTTGGATATCTCTGGAATTGGATTGGCCTGCAGTGTTTGCATCCCTAATGGACTTGCTAGAACAGTTTGAGTCAGCAAAATCAATGCTCTAGGCTTGGTAGAGAGACAAGATGGGTGGGGAGATATCTTTTTATTGGACCAACTTCTTCTGGTGAGAGAGACATGCTTTCAAGCTGCACAGAGCTCTTCTTCAGGCCTGGGACATGTACTAAAAGTGTCTAGGCTTGGTAGTCCTCTATATTATGGCAGCTAGCTGGTACAGAGGGACTGAATTCCCATGGAAGATATGTGTTGATTTTCAAGGGCTTCGTTTCAGTGCTGTTTTTAAAAACTACTTTTTATAAGGCTTTGATTCCAAATACTCCTCTCTAGTTATAAGAACTTTTGATATACCTTCTGTAAAGCACTGCTCTTACTGTAAACTTCACATTATCTTGAGTGTGCTGAAAAATGCTTATGAGTGATTTCCATACAGAATAACCCTCCATCCCCCACCAGATTGAATGCAAAATAGTAATTCAGTCAAGTGGTATTCTAAAGCTGAAAAGTACAGTTTGAATGGTTTATGAATAGCACCGCAACAGACATTAAATTACAGCCCGTATAACCACGAGGGCTATGAATACTAGATACATAAAACACTTTTATTACCAGTTACCTATAAGGTTGAGCAAAATGAAAATCCATCTGCCAGAGCAGGCTTCCAGCACATATTGCGCAGCAGGATTATAATATATATGTGGAGGAGAAGAGTTTGAGATTCAAAATGGAGAAGGATTTGAGGGCATGTGATTTAGGAAAATGAGGAGGATTACAGGACATATGATACAGGAGGAAAGGGATTACAGTGCATGTGATGTTGGAAGACACAGATTACTGGAACATAAATTGTAAACCCTCACACATTTTATTTATATTTTAATCAGAGGAACTCCCTGGAGATCTGCTTTTTAACAAGGGAATGCTATCTTAACAGAACAGTCATTTTAGCAGAATTAGAAAGGAAGTGCGTAGTCTGTTAGCTAAGATGATGGAAATGTTATCATGCAATAACACATGGACACATGTTACCCTGGGGTGTTAATATCTCATATTCCAGTTTAAGAGCCAAGAAAATCCTGCTTGTTAATTGCAGTTTTTAAAAAATACATATACAGAAACCAATTATGTTGGTAAAATATGATGGCTGTAAAATTGCTAGCTAATAGTGATTTTTTTTAAAAGATTTGAATAGATTACTGAACTCTTTGCAATATTTAATGTCTGTCCAGAATGAGTTTTTGCTTTTCCTCTCCTTTTTAAAGAAAGTGGGTTAATGTAATGCTCAGGAAGGAAAGCCTACCATACACAGGCAATGTGGAAGCTTCCCCTCACCACACTGCCAATCCAAACTGGCAAAGCCCTTTGCTATCCCATCCCAGAGGCTCTTCACAGCTGAGGGCATGTCTACACTTACCTCCGGAGCGAATGATCCAGTGGAGGTCGATTTATCGCGTGTAGTGAAGATGCGATAAATCAACCACCGAGCGCTCTCCCGTCGACTTCAGTACCCCACTGGAGTGAGAAGCGTAGGTGGAGTCGATGGGGGAATGGCAGCAGTTGACCTACCGCAGTGAAGACACCGCAGTAAGTAGATCTAAGTACTGTGTTATTCACGTAGCTGAAGTTGCGTAACTTAGATTGATTCGCCCTTATGCCCCCCCAGTGTAGATCAGGCTGCACTGTGATGGTTTAGTAATGAAGACAAATTCTCACTTGAGGCTACAAAACTTATTTTAATGTGCAACCTTCTCAAGATCCCAAGAGGTCAGACTGGGGTAGTGAGCTACGGATCTCTCATTTACTTAAGTACTGTATTTGGAGCCCAGTCTTGCAGCTGTTACTGATCTGAGTAGCCCCTCTCTGACCTCAGTAAAACCAGTCTGAGTCTGGGTTGCATGATCAGTCAGTGAGGGCCCAATCCCGTGAGGTGCTGAGTGTCTCGTGAAAAGTGCTAGGTATGCAGGCACTCAGGATTGGGTCCTTTATGAGCAGTAACTTCAATTAAAACTAAAATATCCTTTAGTTTATATCCCATCGGGCAACCTGTACCTTACTCTTATAAATTTCAGTCCTTCCCAGCACTTAAGTACATGCATAACTTTAAGTTTGCTTTGCTACATTTGGTTGGGGCCATAGGCAGATTCTGTCTCCTAGTTCACCTAGGTGTGACATTGGATAGGTCATTAATGTACTGCAACCACTTGAGGAAGACGTCAGCCAAATTCAGCACTCGGAACAACCTGCTCAGAAAATTGGCTGGCTGGCTCAACCTGGGCTGTGAGCACCTGGGCACTTAGAAGATCAGCCTTTGCCCTCTGCTGTTCAACAGCAGAGTACTGTGCTCCTGTCTGGTGTCACTCGTCTCACACGAGGCTGGTCGACGTAGAGCTTAGCAAAGCTATGTGTATTGTTACTAGGACTTTGCATGCGACTCCATTGCCACCATGGCTGCCAATACTTAGTAACGTAGTGCCTTGCCATATTCACCGTTAGAAGGCGTTTGTCATGCTGCTTTCCAAGATCAATGAGAACAGCAGCCCAGCTTTGTGCCACCCACCAGCTCACCTGTCTTCTAGATGCCCTTTATGGTCATCTGCTTGGCACAACAAGTGGTCAGCAATGACAGCTGTTAATCACTCGCTCGTCACTGACCCAACCGTCTCTCCACCAGGTTTTGATCTGCCAAGGGATCTCTGCCAAAGCATCTCTGAACTGGTTTCAAGTAGGACAGGGCAACTGTGTGGCCAATCTGTATACACGATGTTTTCAAATGTCCCACGATGCAGCTGCGGTCAACTTCAGAAGGTCACATATCCTTGATGAATGCCCACTGACTTATTTCGATGTAGGGCTACCGATGCTTCCATCTGGCTGATAATGATGCCCTCAAATGCCTGGGCATATTGCATATGCTCTGAGAGAGATCCCCCCGATCTTGCAAACAAAGATGGAAATTACTTGGGTGCTGACATAACCTACTCTAATTACAATTTTTCTTTGGGACATTTATCAGATGCAACTAAAGAAGTTCTGTTTCTTATATTTTCCATTGGAAATGCCCTACCTTCAAAGGTATTTATATGGTGGTAGATTCAGCAGACAGTTACAAGGCTGAAGAGCTCATTTTGCTGCATTTATTTCTGCTACTGATTTCTAGAAAATTATCTTGCTAGTTTCAGTGCTTTGGCACTGACCAGCAGCACTTCTCAGGTTTAAACTTGGTCAACTCTTGGGAGAGAGAGGAACTCCAGTTATACTTTTATCCTGCTTGCCCATGAGATTCTGTTTTTTGTTTTTTAATGTACACTAACATAAGCATACCCCATATCCATGCTGCACACATGTGTATACTCTGTCAATTTATAGGGAGAAATTGGAAGTTAAAGTAGAACTTGACCTTCAGGCATCCCATGCAAATATTAAGACTTTTAAACTAATAAAGTAGCACTAGTGGTTTCAGCCAGCTGAATATATTATGATTTTATTGTTTAATGTTGTCTTCAAGTATAAGGGATTATATTTAGTGCATAAAATTGAGACGGGGGCTATAAAATGCTAACTTTCTGTGACTTTTTTGTTAAATGCACTTCAAGATCATGAAGAATGTTTTATTTCTGAAGATGGGAAGGAATTGTCTCATCCACTGAGAGGAAAACAAGTTTTCTTTTTTGTTTTGTTTTGTTTCTATCTTATCTCATCTTTTTGTAGCTCATTTAAAAATATCTTTTAATTGTTGCATAAAAGAATAACTATTCTTAAAATCTCCTTCCCCACTCTTGATTTAACCTGTTGGTCTGTTTTCTGGAGGCTTCTTCCACTGCAAGTCTTGTCTCTGAGAAGTGTATCTTTACTCAGGCCACATCTCAATCTGCTAACATTAATTCGTCCATCTAAACAGAGTTTTGCCATTAGACTTCAGTGAGAGCAGGATTGGGCTTTTCATGTCATTTGTGTACAAAGTTTGGAGAAGCTGTCAGAAGTGGTTATGGCAACTCGGAGAAAGACTTTCTTCCCACGTAGATAATAATACTCATGAGCCTGAACCAGAACCTCAGATTTGACAAATTCCTACATTTTGGGTCTGTCAAACAAATGAATTGGGTTCCCAGTTTTGCATTTTCAGCCCATTTCTGATCTCACTGGGTGTCTGATCTCACTCCCACTAAAGTCAATAGCAGAAATCCCACAAAGGGAACAGAACTGGGCTGGATTTGTAAGCCGCTCTCTTGAACAGGATTTCTTTAGCTTTCCATTCATTCCATATTGTAGAAAGAGCCAACATAGGCGAGTGTGTGTGGGTGTAATTTTCTCTTTACCAATTCCATGCAACTTTGGGCTGGTCCACATACAGTTTTGTGTTTTTTAAAAAGTGCTCTTACTATATCAGTTTAGAATCCCATAAACTTTTGAGAATATTATAAAATAGATGTAGTGCATCTACTTTGATGTCAAAAAGAAGATAGATCATCGCCCATCAATGAATCCTTAAATAAGTAACACAGCATCTGTTAGAAGAGCAGCTGACTTTGTGTAAGACTATACCTCATACCAAGTTCACTGTGTGAGCTAATGTGGATCCTTCTATGTGAGGTATGTGTGCAGTGTATAGGTTGAAAGGACCCTATTAGTATTGAGTTCACCATTCATGAGCTTTTAAAAACTTTGTTCTTGCTATTAAATCTTAACCAGTCAGAACAATATTCAGATAATGAGGATTTTTTTAACCTGAAACCAGTGACAATGTATAATGACATTATTTTCTAAACGTCATGATATTGGTAACTTGGTGGTAGTTTCTGTTATAAAATGTTAAAATGTTCGGAAAGAAAATGTAAGTGATGTTGGAGTATTTGACTTTTAATATTCACATGCCCCAGTAACTGAGCCTGGCTGAAAGTTGTATGGGTAACTACGCCATACAACTTTGTCTGAAACAGCAGTTACACTCTGAGGGAGGCTGCCTAACCAGAGAATGGCAACTTTCACAAGCCATGTCTCAGTTCTAAAAACACACTGTTTTGTTTAAATTCAGGCTTCTGATTCTGGTTGAATTTTTATGAAAGGGAAAAGAAAGATTGAAGACTGGTTTTTGTTAGTGTTTGGTAAATGGAAAATCTTGGCTGCTACTCTGAAACTTGGAATAAAGGGTCACTTCTGATCATTACTCTAAAGGTTTTATTTGATCAAGCAGATGTTTAAATTCAAATCGGCCTGTGTTATCATTTTGTGAATATATTCACTGTTAGTCACATAGAGCTGCTGTTAGTGTAAGACTGCACAGAACATCCTACAATAAATGGCAATGGTTGCAGAGATGAAGGCAAAATAAATATAGAGTGTGTTCTAATATGGCTGCCTATTAAAATATTAGACCTAATTAACATAATGTTACAAGCTCCACTTGTAACTCCATGCCTGGCGGCTCAAGCACAACCATTCAGAGCTGATGCACTGTTCATTGTAACAGACAATGTGCTGCACATGGACTATTCAGAAAGGCTAGTGCTCATATTCATGCAGTTTGTATGTATTATAGAGCCATTAATTTTAATACAGTTGCCCTCATTTTTAAGGACATCTGTTAAAAGAACAATAGACTTAAAAGTCCACATATCTCCAGGGAGCCATTATCTGCCTGTATGGTGATAATTCTGTTTTTAAAGAACTCTGCCTGCTTATAAAATATATTGAAATGGTAATTATCTAATGGTAGGTCATTCTTTTTTTTTTTTTTTTTTTACCCTTTAAGATTTGCCCATCGCTTCCTGAGCCTGATTTTCAAAATTGTGCACAGCTGTGAATAAAAGTGCACGTGCAATTGCTTTCCTAATTTGCATGTATAATCACTGAGAGTGCACAAGCAGATTTATTTACACATGCAAATAGCCAGTACACAATTTGAATATTGTAACAAGTAATGGTAACCAGAGGCAAAACTTGGCATACGGTTGTGCACATGTGATTGCATATGAAATGGCATTTGCAAACTTTAAAAAATCAGCCCCCCTAAGAAAAGTACAAGGACAATAAAGCATTTTAGATCTTTTAGTAAACCCTTCAGACCATCAGCACCAAGACTTGTGCAATGTGAAAGCTGTCCAGCCTGTTGTGGTGAATTTACTAGACACAGCTCTGTATACAAGATGTAGTGGTATTTCATAACTGTCCAGGCAAAGCAACAGTTCAAATGATTGCGTAGCGTATTCTTATAAGAGGATATAATTGTACAAATTTTAAGTTAAATGAACTTGAGTTTTTATTGTGTAGTTCTATGGGAAGGATTAATTAGTCATTCTCTGTGTAATTGTTTTGCACTGCTTTTAGTCATGCTGTGCCATCGGTTTAAAAGTAAGGGCAGAATTTGGCTTGTTCTATTTCTTCTCACCAAGTTTCCTTTTGAGAAGATTCCTATGCAGAGAGGCAAGATCTCTGAAGAAAAGAAAAGGAAGATGCAGAGGAATGCCAGCTAGCAATACACAGGCTACTTATGCCGTGCAAGAGAATGATAGCAAGAACTGGCTATTCATATCACGTAATGCAAGGAATGGAGTCTGAAATGTAGAGAGATTAAAAAGTACAGATAAGAAAAATAAGTTGGTTGGTTGGTTTGAAACTTTTGGTTTTTGAGATTTCATTCTCAAACCAGACATTGTGTTAAAAATGATTGGGGGAAAAATGGGTTAAAGCATGTAGTCGCTTTCATGTTTTCACTCCTATGAAGGGGGACATTGATCAATGCTCAAGTCGCACTCCCCGTCAGTACCTGGCCCGAGCCGGGGAAGCTAATGATTCAACCAGCAGTCCAAATTCGGTGATGAATCTGGTCATATGCCGCCTGAGGCATGTTGTGCATATGCTAAGAAAAAGACTCCTATGAACTGGAAATGTAATAATTTTGGAAAATTAAACATTACCGGCAAGTATTATGGAGCAATAGGATACAAATTATGATTATAACCATTCTGCATCAGACATTCATGCACCATTTATCTTTTATGATGTCTAAAGTCTAATTTTCACAAAGAATCCCTGCTGCTACAGCTCAGTGAGTAGGACTGAGAACAGGCAACATCAGGCATTCTTAGTCTAACTCAGTTGTCATTAGAATAGCTAGACAAAGCATAGATGAGGTGTCAAGATTTTAGGGTTTCATTCTCAGTTCTGCTAGCTACTTACTGTCTGATGCTGGGCAAGTAAGTGAGGGCCAGATATTCAAAACTGTGCATTCACATTTGTGCACCAGGCTTGTATGTGTAATTACTGAGATGCATTTGTGAATCAGGTAATCGTGCAGTCAGATAGTTAGTTATGGGTCTGGCTGGCCATTTGCTGGAACAGTTTTTCAGCATACATGTGCAAGTGCAGTAATGACATATACATTTTTGCACATTTAGTTGTGAAAATCTGGCCTTGATGATACTCACATTCAGTATGTTACAGCATAAAATAAACTAGAAGAAATTACAGCACAGTGAAATATTGATCTGCATCTGACAGACATTAGAACACAACTAGAGCTGGAGGCTCAGATGAGGGGGAAAGACAATACGAGTACTCCCCTCCCCATTCTTCTAGAATAACCAAAGAAAAGAACCTGGACCCAGAAGTCTTCCCTGTTTTCTGATTCTGAGCTCCTTCTCAGTTTACCAGCAGCTGTGTCCTAAATCTTATTCCAAATTGTCATTTGCTCCAATTCACAGGTCAGCACAGTCTAGCTTTCTGGAAGAGAAAGCACCTAAAACCTATACAAAGTATGTATCAAAAACAGACATCCCTATCCTGCTGGTTTAACACTTAAATACAGTGGAACAAGGAGGAGATGTAAGAGTGGCTTGTAAAGCAAGAAAACACCCCACATGATCAGCCTCCCACACAATTGCATATGACCAAGACTCGCACCTTTTATGGAGTGGCAAAATAGAGAGAGGTCTAATCCCACTGCTCTCACTTTGACTAAACTCCTCTTGATGTCTTTCCTGTTCTATTGATGATCAATTACATTTTTACTTCCGTGAGTATTGTCCAAGGAAAGATGGTGAGAAGGGATCGAAAAAGAGAGCATTGGAACACGTGGAGATAATCTGTGTGCTCTTTCCGCCTCTGCAGAGGAACATATTGTTGCATGCATTTTGGCTTATGTCAAATGCCTAATGCAGACTGGTGCAGGTTCGTTAGCAGTATACTGGTAGCCATGCAGTCCTCTGGAAATGGCTTGAATTGCTACATGCCATAAATGAAGAATGGGAGCCTCTCTTGGAGCTAAGAGTAATTTATATCCCAAATCCTTTTTTCAGAGGGAGAAATGAGGCACTTCAAGGTAACAAGGTTGTCGAGCACCCGCTCATTTCTTGAGGGACTTCTTTTGCTTGCTGTTACAATAATTTTTAAAACGAAATTCTAGCTATCATGGATCCACAAGGCCTTTTACCTTTACACAGTCTCTGGCAGTATACCCATGTAGTTCTAGGCCCTCCAGTTTTTGCAAGGAAGAGTCCTGCAGCTCCGCTACTCCCAGGGGGACCTGCAACTCCATCCTTATCCCCCCAATATTCAGTTTCCCTGGAGGGAACCCATTCCCTGTAAAGGTATCCCTTCTTCCACAGGAATCTTTCCTGCAGACCTTTGTACAAGGTTTATACTGCCAGAGCTAGCTATCATTCTCAGCTTCTCTGAAGAGGACTCACTCTGATGCTCTGTTTGAAACTCTGCTACTGGGGCAGGGAGAGTAACCTATCCATCCTCACCGGCTGGAATTTGAGTCACAGCACTTCTAAGCTGTGCCTCAGTTTTCCTACTTCTGGCTGGAGTCTCAGTCCCAGCTCTGTCCGGCTCTGCCCCAGGGAGTGCATTCTCCCAAGCCAAAAGCAGCAGCTTTCTAGCCCCATGCATGCTGGTCTGTGACCCTAGGTGAGGACATGGTGATGTTCTCTGGCTCCTGGTAAGAATCAAGGTGCTTCGGTCTCTGCCAGGCTAGTCATCCAAATCATTTCCTATCAGCACCCCCATAGGTAACTGGTCATGCACCCCAACCTCTTTGTGCCCCTTCTTGGTACCCGATTTCAAGTATATCTTTGGGACAGGCACCTTAACTGGGGATCCAAACACTCCCCCAGGGTTAGATACTCATTGGATACAAACTTATTGGGGTCAGCTATGTTAGGGAGAGCCAGAGTTACCTCAGCACTCATGTCCCACAAGTCCTGGACCTTTGTCCATTCCCCTTTATGCTCTGACCCCCTCCCCAAGCCTCCTGCCTACACCCGCTACTTGACCTGAGGAAACCCTGTGAATTTGGTACACCAGAGCCTAAGGGTTAAACTCAGCAGTCTGAACATTTTATCTCCTAGAGGAGCTAGTGGGGAGGCCTCTGAATCCTCCATTATACTGTTAGTACCAAAGACTTGAGGAGCTGACATTCCCTGCAGTTGTATTTTCTAGGTTAACCCTTAGCGGGCCATGGCCAGACCCCAGGAAACTGAGTCTCAGGTACTCTGCCCACTTATGCCTAGGCCTATTACAGACATAATGTCTTGGGTCCTTGGGATCTCTCATTGATGGTCTGCTTGAGTTGGCCAATACCTCCACTTCAGGTTTACCTAAATCCCATTTCTGAGAAACCCCTTTATGGGACCTTGACTTGGGCCAGTCCCATTTTGGGTTTTCTTTTCTGAACCAGGCCTACTATCCATAAATCCACCTGCCAGTCAGGCTGCACAATGCAAGCCTTGGGTTCTGGAGCACTAGCCATGTTTTAAGGTTATGGGGACACACCTCCTAAGTTGTTCTAATGCCACCAATCAGACAAGCATCCAGGATAGTAACTCTTGCACCTTTTCCCCATTTGCGGAGGTGCTCCTCCATCTGGGTTGCAACCTCCATATATGTCACCCCCATATTCTTTTGCATGCTCCCAAACCGTCTTCTGTAAGCCTCAGGCATCAGTTCAAACTTAAGCAATAAGGCTTTTTAAAAAAGTTCACTCCCTGAATCAGTTCCATCCATTTGATTATACACACCTCTATACTTTGGGCGTCAGAAAGGGAGTGAGACCTTGGAACCTATCCACAGGGGGAATGTGATTTAAATAGCAAGCTTTCTGAAAGGCAGTGGGGCAGGCATCAATACCCCCCTTCTAAATTATTGTCCCAATTTACATGTGTTTCCTGTGATCTTGGCATCCCAGAGTTTCTCCCTACTTACCATTCACATGTGATCTCTTGCTCCTCAGGTTCTCAGTTTCCAAATTGCTTTTGCTGCTGTTTCTCATGTTTGGCTCACTCGGTTTTGTCTTTTCCTGATCAGCCAGCTTCTGACATTCCAGCTCAGTTCCTGCTCCTCCACCTGAAACCTCTTTTTTTTCCAGCTGCAATTTTTGCCGCTCTAGCTTTTAGGTTGGGGAACTTGATCTTGAGGACACCCTGCGATTGCTTCGGCTGCTGCAGATACTGTGATTGTCCTGCTTTGACTCTGTTTGTATCTATGTCTCTATTTCCCCCAGCCTGATCCTCTGGGAACCTTGTCTGGGTCTGGACTTTAATTCTTTGCCTGGTTGTCCTCATGTAGTAGGTCAAACAGTTGTGCCTTGGTTCACTTTTAAAGTTTAACTCTCCCTTTGCACAGCTCTGCTGTCTGCCTCTTAAGGAGTTGATCATATGTCATTTTCCTTAACTGTCCTTTCCTTCTGTCTACTCAGAACATAAACCACTTTCTCCCTACAGTAGTTTTGACTAAGCTTGTTTTTACTGTTGTGGTCGCTTTTTGCAAAACACTATGATTTCAGACAGCATCCCACTGCTACCACCAGCGGCCATCGATCCTCTGGGCATGCTAGGCCTCTGACCTTTACACAGGATCTCTGGAAGAATACTTCTTCAGTACTGGCCCTAGACCTCCACTTTTGCAAGGAAGACCCTGCAGCTCCACCACTTCAAGACTGGGTCTTTGGATTCAGCACCTCTGTTTCTCACTCTGGTTCCTCCAGCAGTTCCAAATGAGTTAGACCCCTGTCAGAGACTCACCTATTCAGTGACACAGAACCCAGGGCAGCCTTTTCAAAAGAAGACAGCTTTTATTAGCCAATTGGAATACAGTATTTTAAAGCCCTTAGGTTAGACTTGAAAAGCAAGGTTTACATGCACGTCCATGCTCACAACATTACCTGCCTCTTTGATCAAAGATGTCTAGAATTCCATCTCTCTATCTGCTCACTTGGCCGATGCATCAGGGACTTTCAGAGCTAAAAGCGTAAGCTGCTAACGCTCTATAGCTCCTATTCTCTGTGTATTGGCACAGGGGGGACTTGCAACTCCCAGTCACCAGAGTCTTACATAAGCATAGAGTATTTCATTTTCTTGTCCACTTTCTGTTGGAGAACCCTACTCTTCTACTAAGTTACTGAGAATTTTAGGGCCTAGGGAATGTTAATCTAGCATGCTTGCAGCTGTAAATGCCACCCCCAGCCCTTCCATGCAGCTGCGTCTCCTGTCTGGGGTCTGTACAGCCCCGCCATAGGGCGGGGCTGGGGGTGGTATAGCTGTGCTGGAGGAGCTGCTGGTGTGGGGTGCTGGCTCCTGGGAGCAGTGGCATCACGTTCTGTTCCTTTCTCTGCTGTGGTTCCTGGGAGAGCCCTTAGGTTCAGCGGATACTGATTTCTACCTGTGGATATCCACATCTGCAGGTATAAATTTGTATCTGCTCAGGGCTCTACAATTCATTCTTGAAAAAGTCTTTCCGGTATGGCGTACCGGCAATAAATGTCTTAATGGTATGGCGTACCTGACCGTACCGGCTTACTTGCACCACTGCTGTTGAAGTCAGTGTCAGAACTCCAGTTGATTTCCATAGTGCCGGGATTTCACTCAGTGATTTTTGCACTGCTTTTTAGTTGCTCAGTAAATTGCAAAGGTCAAAGATGGTTCCCCTGTCCAAAAGAAGCGGTGAATTCTGTGCTCATTTCATTCCCAGTTTGTGCATTTGTAGTTGTAGATGCTCTTTCATGCCATTCTACATTTTCTCCTTAACCTTTTATAATTGTTTTAATGACAGCCATTTCTCTCTTCTGAATCTGGAGAGCACAAACTATGAAGAAAGGTGGTACATATGGTAAATCACGTCAGATATAACTACACAACTGCTCCCCACACTTCTGTTTGTTTAATCAGTTCTGAAATATGTAACTTTTATATTTTTGGGCTGGTTCTTCCTTCTTCATGCAGATCACTTATTTCAGCATCTGCCACCTTTAAATATGTACGTTTAAATGACACATTTCTGAAAATTTACACTGCATTTCTAAGTAGGAAACAAACCATGTTACTCTTTTATTTTATATTGCACAAAGAGAGGGGACATGTGTGAGCATAGCCAGAATAGACCCCTGAAATGTGCAGCCCTGCTTGGCTTTCTCTGGCCCAAATTCTCACAACAGTGACCCATCTCCATGCAATTGCTTGGTCTGGGCATGAAGGCAAGGGCTCCAGGCAAAAGGCCATGGATCTTTAATGGTGAATAGAGCCTTAAGTAATGAGTGACAAATGGGTGATAGTTGTGAAACCAAGCTGACATTGTACAACCTGAAATGGGGCCTCTTTAAAACAGACTTGTTTTACCAGTTGAAACCATCCTAGTGGCCTTCAGCCTGAGTGGTTGAAAGTTATTAGGGTACACCTCAGAGCTAATTAGCTAATTGCTTTACAACAGAAATGTGTATGTTGAAGATTAATGATTATTAACACTTTCATTCTGAAGTAGGCATGACTTTGTTCTTTGAGTTGATAGGCAGAAAGAGAGACAGACTGTCCAGAAAATGCTTCATTCCTGAAGAAGAATATTGGGGAACATCCGATAAGCAAGCTCAGAAGGAGTTCTAAGGAAACTCTGTGTATAACCCTATCCATAGTTTGTTATTGCAAACACTATATAATTTCACGTCAAAAGGAATTTTATAAATATCTGCGCTCTTGATGTTCTTGCCAGCCTTGTGGAATTACTATTCAGTGATCAGCTAAATTACAGTATATTAACTGCCTTAATATACAGTTCTGTACTTCCTGTGGTGGCAGCATAAAAGGTAGCATGTTAAAAATCTTGGTGGTATCCCATGAGGTCTTCAATTTCCAGAAGAATTTTAGCATGGGAACTTTGGAAATTTTGTCACATGGATGAGGCTGGAATCCTATTTGGTCTGATTTTTAAGAGGGCGTAAATGCAGTGTTAAGTACCCAACAGCTACCTCACGAAAGCATTGCCTACTCCTTGTTTATGCATAAAGTAGTTAGTTGGGGGTGTGATTTGCTGTCATTCACACTTTGTCTTGTGACTGAGAGGCAGAGGATGACACAGCCTAGTGCAAACATATGATTAATGTAAGACAATACAGTGAAATAAGGCTTAAGGGCCTGAGCCTGGGCCCAATTTTGCTACCCTTCTGCACAGCTGGGAAGGGGATCAGCATCCTCCACGACTGCATGCCTGCCTTCCAAAGCCTCCCGAGAGCTCTCGGAAGTTGAGATCTGTGCGGAGGGAGTGGACAACCACAGGTTGGGTGGGTGTATGGCTGGGGGAACATCAGACCCAGGAAACGGACGGTGTCCTCAGGCTGTATTACTTTGCATGTGGAGTCCTGTCGGTGGCGGCGTGATATCTGAGGGCAGCAATGCCTAGGAGGAGTTTCTGGAGGCTGCTCATGGTATAGAGTTGTCATGGAAGTATAGGACTTTAGTGCAGATGGCCCCTGGCCTCCTAAAAAGTTTGCTAGATCCTGGAACTTCACCTGGGTTTTTCTTCCCTTGCCGTTCCTGCAGGTTTTATTGTAGGAAGTGCTGTCTGGCTCTCTTAGAGATGCCAAGCACCATAAAAAGCTGCAACTAGAGTCACTGGGAGCAGCTGGGGTGCTCAGCATTTTTGAAAATCAGGTGCCGAAATATGGACATAGGAGCCTAATTTTAGGCACCTACATTTGAAAATCCTGGCCAAAATTTCTCAAAATGTACAGCTTGAACCTGAGGGAAACTGAGCACCTGTAACTGCTGATGTGGCAGGCACCTTAAAAATACCAGAGAGAGAGAAAGAATCAGCTCATCCTGAAGTCAACTGATGTAGCAGATGGTCAGCATCTCACAGCATCAGGCCCTCTGAGTTCAAAGTAAACGCTGCTATGTGTGTAATGTATTGCAAAATGTATTACATATAGCCACTGTACAGAAATGAAAATGAACTGGTGCCAGTTTGTATTTTTGACATGTCTAGTTCCTGCTATATGACTTGCACAAATAATTATTGCAAAATGTTTTTCTGGGGAAACTAGATGAGGCAGAGTTTCCGAGGGGTAGCCGTGTTAGTCTGTATCCACAAAAACAATGAGGAGTCTGGTGGCACCTTAAAGACTAACAGATTTACTTGGGCATAAGCTTTCATGGGTAAAAAAACCCACTTCTTCAGATGCATGGAGTGAAAATTACATTTACAGGCATAGATATACTAGCACATGAAGAGAAGGGAGTTATCTTACAAGTGGAGAACTAGTGTTGACAAGGCCAGTTCAGTCAAGGTGGATGTGGTCTGCTCCCGATAATTGATGAGAAGGTGTCAGTACCAAGAGAGGGAAAATTTGCTTTTGTAGTGAGCCAGGCACTCCCAGTCCCTATTCAAGCCCAAATTAATGGTGTTAAGTTTGCAAATGAATTGTAGCTCTGCAGTTTCTCTTTGAAGTCTGTTTTTTGAAGTTTTTTTGTTGAAGGATGGCTACTTTTAAATCTGTTATTGAATGTCCAGGGAGATTGAAGTGTTCTCCTACTGGCTTTTGTATGTTACCAGTCCTGATGTCTAATTTGTGTCCATTGATTCTTTTACATAGAGACTGTCGGGTCTGGCCAATATACATGGCAGAGGGGCATTGCTGGCACATGATGTCATATTATCACATTAGTAGATGTGCAAGTGAATGAGCCCCTGATGGTGTGGCTGATGTGGTTAGGTCCTCGTTGTTTTAGATGAGGCAGCATTGTCATTGGAAGGAGTAAACAGCTTTAATTATTATTAACAATTTACCCTTCTACTTTGCTGTTCCATCTGCAGTGGCAGCCAGTTAGATCTTTTAAAAGCATTGTATTCTGAGAGCTTGCATCAAGAGGTATAGGAGAAAGTGCTTTTGAGTAAATGTACAGCAATTGGAGGGAGCTCAGTGTTGAAAGGAAAACTTAACCTTGATATGTACTACATTATGTAAATTGCTTGCTTAAAAAATTAAGAGGAGGGGAAAAGCTAGTTTTCACTGTTAGACAGAATTAGCTTGACATTGAACCATTTTGTGTCTGCACGTGACTATTATTTATAGATGGACAAGTGAATGATGTAAAGTTTAGTAGCATGGAAGAAGAGCTACTACTGTAATCCAATTTAAGACCTGAGAATTTTTAGCAAATATTGTGCACTATGCTACCTTTATTGTTTTAAATAATTAAAATATTACACTACTGAACTAGGGCCTTGATCTTGCAATGAGTTCTACAGGGGCAGACCCTCTAC